GGCGGACGCGCCTTCCGGCCGGAGGCGCAGGTGGGCGCCTGCGAGGGACGGGACGGAGCCTGCGAGCGCGCTGAGCAGCCCCCGGCTGGCCCGCAGCCCGCACGAAGATGCGCTTTCCGAAGTGCTCTCCTTCTTCCCCTCCCCAGCCCGTCTCCTAGAGGTGGGTCGCTGCGTGCTTCCCCGCAGAGCTTCAGGAGTCGGCTCGGTCTCGCCTGTGAGCGGCGGGCTCTGCGGACCTGTTGCCGCACGGCGGGAGCCGGGAGCGAGCGGGACGAGCCGCCCCCAGGCTGGGCGCAGAGGCTCCCGCCGCCCTCCTGCACCGTGCCCTGGCACAGGGAGGCGAGGTCCGAGCCCTGCGTGCTGGTCCTGCTGTACTCGTGCTGAGCAGAGGGATGGGAGGCTCAGCACCACGGGCCGGGAGCTTGTGTTCTGGCGTGGCAAACGCTGAGACGCAGCTTGTTAAAAATGTCAATTTTCCCACAGTTCCTTTAATCTTGGGGGCGAAGTTAGTCTGTCGAGAAACCTGTCATGCACCTGATCTGCCTGATCTATTAGTTGTGGCGACCCAGGCTCAGGGTGCTGATTTTGCTTTCAGTTTGCAAGGTTGCTCAAGGAAAAATGGTTTGTGTTAAACTCCTTGTTCACTGTTGAAACTCAGTATTTGAAATTTCTGAAAGTCTTTGCAGCATCAAAATGTGATGATCTGACAACTGGTTTCTCAGAGGCTGACCCAGGGCTTATTATGGAGAAATGAGTAATGGCTGGTGCAAGGAGTAGCAAACCCTAGAGGTGTGCGCTGTTGGCTTAAAAAAGAAAAGCTGCAGTGCAAACATAGGGCAATACTGGTTGGCATAGGCTCTTGGAGAGTCCTACTTGAAACTAATTGACCCTGCAGGTCATCTTTCTTTCTTCTGGCAAGACCACTACCAGCTGACATTTAAAGATGTAGGGGCCTTCCTGCTCCCATTTTGATGGGCAAATCAACCTGTTCTGGGGCTACTTGTGGGCAGCTCTCATAAGCAAAATATTCTGATTGATGCAGGTGCGTGTCCTAAACCAGGGTGGAACAAGAACAAGTTAGCTGGATGATTATCAGGTATAAAGTGTATTTGAGGATCCTTCCCACCCGTGCTTAGATTGCAGTGATTTCTTGTATAAACAACAGGATTGTGTTTCTGTTCTCCAAGTCGTTTAGCTGTACTTTAAACACAGATATAATCTGTATATAACAGAGGATATTTGTGAGAAAATCCTCTGGACATCTCAGACTGGAGATGTGCTGTGGTAAATAGAGGGGGGGAGCCTGTTTCCCCCCTTTCCACAGCAAAGCATGTTACTCAAGATTTGGTCCTCTGAGTGGACCAACAGTTGCGACAGTTGTACTTCTCCATGTCATGGGGCAGAGAAAAGAGCATTCCTGGCACAAAAAAATAAAAAGGGAGGCAACTGTTCTTTTTTAACAGAGAGCCTGCACATCTGAAAGAGGGGCGTAGGGTAGAAAGAAGAGGGATACAAGGTAGACCAGGTACAGTCAAGCAATACTGAGTTCCAGAAAGTGCTAAAGAGAAAATGAGGTGGGTGCAGAATAGTGTGATGTTGCTTGTCATCAAGTATCTTGGAATGATGATTTTATTCAGTCTGCTTGTGTGTTGGGGTAGTAGCTGGTGCTGCTTAGAGTGCATTAGTGAGTGATGTGGAACTTGGGACTGGACCAAATCACTTCAGCTCCTTTGCTGGTATTTCTCTGCTGATAAATGTTTTTTTATCAACTGCCAGCAAAGTACTTGGCATTGTTGGGTCAGAGAAGCAGAGAGGTCCAAGTGCACTGAGAACTGGGATCACAGAGTGCTTTGGAACAACAATTGTTTAAAAATGTTACAGGGAAAAATATGTTACTTTGTTTAATATTCAGTCTTTATCACTAGTTCGGTAAACAGATCTCAGATGGAATATTTTATAGTCAAAACACAATGTTACTTTCATTCTTCTGTTTTAGGATATTATCTCGGGATTGATTAGGTGCTTCAGTAGTACCTTTGACAGATAAGTATCTTGTGAGCCTCTTCTGAGCCAGGGGCTTAGGTAGGCCTGTGCAGATAAGGTGGAGAGAGAAAGCTGAAATGAGTAACATATAACTGGAATTTTAATGCTAACTACTGTAGAATTAAATTTATTTCCAGAGAAATTATCACCTTACTACTCCACTAAGCTGCTTCGGTGATGCATAATTAGCATATCGATATATTAAAGGAAAAATGCTTACAAATGAACTGCAGGTATGCCTGAAGATGAGTCAGTCATACACAGAATAACTGAGAGGCTCTTTTAAAAGAGTTTGGACCAGTCAAGAAGAGTAGAAGAGGTTTTGCTCACTGTTATTCTGTGTTGTCCACTTAGGGGATATTGAAATATAGTCACTTTTTCTTTAAAGAAATTTTAAGTGGGTTTGAATCGCTGTGAAAATTCTAAGAGTTTTGAATACCATTTTTATTTTCTCATTTTAGTGTCTTTTTTTCCTGCCTTTGTTGTTATATTCACTAGCGTGATATTAGAGTGCCTCATTAAGGTAGACATTGAAGTGGTGTTTATCCACAGGGGTATCAAAACTAACAAACTAAAAAACTTGAAAAAGCAGACGTGTTCTTGTGCAGTCCTGCTTTTGTTTCTTTGGGTCTCCAGTCACAGTAATGACTCAAAGTTACAAACGTTACAAAAATTTAATTGTAATAGTTACATGTAACAACAGCAGTCTAAATTTTTTTCATAGAAAAGTGCAGTACTTCATTTCTAAGTACTCGTGTAAGGAAAAACAGTCAAGATTTAAGGTTGTTTGACTTGAAATAGTAGAAGACCTTATTCGGTCTCAGAAAGTGCAACTCCTTCCATAGGAAGAGAAAGTTGCATATGTGTCCTCATTGAGGGTTAACACTGAATTCCATGTGAGAAATATGAAAATAGTGTTTATTACAATTACTTCTTTTTTCTTCTGTAAGATGCAATTAATTTCAACTTGTAAAAGAGATTTTGTGCAGAGAGCTAGCGTAGGCAGTTCTTAAACACTTGTTCTCTATAAATGCTTAGTTGATATCAGTAGGTTAAGCTTACCTGGATACTCCCAATTATTACCTAATGAGGTCTCTATTTCTCCCCTTCAGAAAAACCCATGCATTTTGAAATGTAATTCACAATTGACAGTAAAGAATGCATGACTTAACAGGCATATCTGCTTTAGATTGATGGAATACCTCCCCAGAAGTGCAGACGAAGGGAGTTAATGCTTCCACACTGTCCAGGGATGGGGGTTTTTTCATCATAGTGCTGTCATTACCTAACCAAAACACGGTGTGATCTTATGAAGAACTGATAGAATCTGGTAGGGTATGGAAGGTTGTCATCAATCGTATCTGCTGAAGTCTGTTCTGATTCTTAGCCTTTCAGAGACTGGAATCTAAGTGGAGATTTGAGCAAAGAGAAGGATATCCAGCACAGATATAGGTACATGCAACCCGACATCGTCTTGTGTGGTGCATTACACATAGGGAGACCTCAAGTTCGTGAGCTTCAGTTCATCAGCTTCCTTAAGCTTGATATCCAAAATTAGGCAATGTTACTTCCCCACAGTAACCATATATTAAAAGCAGCAAGTTAAAAAAAATAAACTCAGATTTAAGTGTGCTTGAACATATTTTGCTGCCATCAAAAGTCACTGTGGTGTCAACATAGTTGCAAAGTGTTTAAATTAACAAAACGGATTCCAGAGATTGATTAACGAGGTTTTTGGAAATATAACATTACCTGTGTGCCAATCTGATCATATGTTCCCTAAAAAGCCAGTTAAGAACAGAGCTGTAATGTTGGTGATTGAAAGTAGAATTATATTCAGGAGTCTGAAACCCATTCCCTGCCTCCCGCCTTCTGTAAAACAGGAGCACGTGAGAGGGAAGCTGGGGAACCTGATCTCTCTAGCCCAATATCTAACTTAAATGCCTAAAATTAGGCAGTTGTAAGTATCCTGTTGTTGTGTTCCTGGAACCAGGAATAATAATACCATTCCATTATAATAGCTAAATGGGAAGGGATTTATAGATCTATGTTTCATTTGAGTGAAGGAAAGGCATGGGACCAGAGTTGCTGTCCAGCCCTGAAACTTCTCAGGCAAAATGTTGAGATTCCGTCCTCAGATAATGGTAACAGTACGCCGAATGTTTTCTCCTCAGAGTAATTCCTTTTTTCTTCCCCAGTCCCAGAAGTCTCAGAAATATTTTAACTCTTTTCCTCTTACATTCAAATTTGACACAGTTCATTTATGATAAAAATATTCATGTCAGAACTCATCCAGTCTTCTGATGTATAGAGAGTGGTACTGAGACTCAGAGTATTCAGGGTATCTTGAGTAATAGTTAAACTGATGAAAACAATAACCTGAAGTACTGCTTGCTTCATCCTGAATGAAGGGAAGAAAGGTGAGAGAGGAATGAAAGAAATTTGTTAGCATCTGTGTCCATATAGTAATTCTTTTCAGATTAATCTTGTTTACTTATGAACTTAAAGTACATAGAACAGATAAATATTTTACATAGCATTGTGAATTATCATATTCTGAAAATCTGTGCTGTAGCTATTGAATATACTGTAAATCTGTATATAAATTTATGTGCATATATATATATTATATATATATAATGTCCATGTGCAAATTTTTCTGGTTGTAAAACTATTGTCTTATTCTGTGGAAAGACTGCAAAACCTTTTTTTATAGTGCAAAGAGAGAATACAGGAGCAATATTCACTTACACTTCTAAAGATCTTATCTTCTACAGAAGTGGTGATACCAAGTGCCCCTTCAATTGAGTACTCTACATGTTTAACTGAATATTTTTTGAAAACAAGCCCCAGTTATCAGTTTGAAAATTATTAAAATGTGGAAATTGAAAACCTATCAATAAGGGGAAAATTATTGTGTTCTTAAAAAGAAACAAAACATAGAAGATTTTACCTCTTTATGTAGTTTTTTTTTTCATAAGACTGTCAAAAATTATATAACACATTCTCAGTTCCATTTTAACTGCTTCCCAGGAACAGTGGCTGTATTGCTTATCTTGTAGGAAACTGGTGATTCTTTTAAAGTACTTTTTTATGCTGTATATAGAGCTTTTTAGGATCCATGTTTGAAAGTTGTTTCTTAGTTTTGATTGCTCTTCTGACAGACATGTCTCCAATTCTTCAATTTGATGATGAATTCCGTTTTGGAATTTGTCGATCTTGCTTGTATTCCAAGCATCAACAGGAAGATTCTTGCTAAATAGTTGGAAGATATGTTGGAGGAACTCATAGATGATCAGTCTGCTGTTCTGTGGGATCTTGGTAATCTCCATGGGAAATCTGAAATCAGTTGTTTCATTGAGACATTGTTGAGAAAAATAACCACCCATTTTCCACAGTAAGTTCATGTTGTGGTAGTTCATTTTGATTCCTTGGAAAAGACAAACTGGATGCGAGATTTTGATGTACAATGCCAGTAGAATGCAAATTTGCAGTAGACTTCTCTGAACTGAGATGGTCATGCTGATGAAGCGGTCAGCACTATTTTCCTTTCCTTTCTGCAGATCTGTAAGCTTGCAGTTTCATGGTTGTCTTGTCTTGCTTACATGCTTCTCTCTCACATCTCTGAATTTATTTCCTCTGTGTGACATGCTGGGTATTACTCATTTTCTAGGAATTGGGCTTTCTATCAACTGTGGTCCTGCCAAGGTTTACTGTTTATTTCAGTTTCACACAATTGCAAAGGTTTGCTCATTTCTTCTTTGACTGTATTTAATTGAAAATAGAGTAAATCAGTCAATCTGGTGAGTCAGAGGACATGGGCAGATTAGCAGATTAGAATCTGGTAAGAGCATTTAATCTCCTCATATTCTTACTAGAACAGGCAGTTGCGCTTTATGCTGAGAAATTTTACTTTTATGCTTAAGTTGGCAAAGACTGTGAAAATCACATCCCTGGCTATCAGATATGCGATCAAAGCAAGATGTAATTTTATTGTTTTAAGAACAAGTGTCTTTTTTGTTAGGATAAATTTTTTTGTTTGGAAAGTGGCTTAAATTTTATTAGAAAATAACCCTGTTATTGACACAAGCATTGGCTCACTAGGGGCGTGTGTTTCTGTCACTCTGTTGGCAAAAAAAGAAGTATATACAACTCTTAAGACAGATGCCTTTTTCTTCAGAATCTCTGATAGTTTAATGCTCAGAGAGGATTTGTTCTACTTCATTACTTGAGGAATCAGCCTAAATGTTTAGAACCATTAAGAAAAGCATACTTTTATGTAAAGAAGAGGAATTCTTTAAATTTCAGAGTTAGAAAACTCTTGTTCTGAAGCCTCCTCCTGTTGTCCCAAAATGAGTCTTTTCACCTGATGTGCAAGAGAGAGTCTGGCTCTGCTCATCCTCTGAAATGCAAAAGAAAGCATCTTTTAAATCCAAACCAATCAAATAAGTACTTTTCCACAGTTGTTTGGTTTATTGCTCTGAGTTATTTGGTTCCCTCTGACCCTCATGTTTCTCTGAGGTCTGGGTCATTAGTAAACAGATTCAAGCCTCCCATGCCTTTTCTTGTGAGATGCAGAGCTTTCCAATTTGATCATTTAACTTGCATAATAAATCTCATTCTACAATAGATGGGGACAATCTGGCATATAGAAACTGTGAGTTCAGTTTAGTATCTTCAACTGTCCACTCCATGAGTTGTAAGAACAACTGTAAAGCTCTTTTTACCATTGTTCCAACAACTGGTCCTGTAACTTTACTTAGCAGACCCATGCAGATAGTTTTGCTGAATGTATGGCTCTGCTATCAATCCAAAATCTATTTTTTCATTCCCTGGTTTTATTGGAACTGGAGGGTGTGATGAAGATTCCCTGATATTTTCCCCCAGCCCCCCTCATTCGTTGTAAAAAATTCTGCAGCATCATAATGCTTACATCTTCTAAATGATCCTTTCTGCCCACAAATAAGCACATTGATTCAGGCCAAAAGTAGAGGGGGGGCTGGAGGGTGAGTAGGGGCCTTTCACACCCCAAACCCCCAGCCTGTTCTGTTTCTTTCACCTTTGTAATACCACTCTTCTCTTCCACAGTAAAAAGGTATGCAGTGTAGCCTACATATCTCCTCAGTTAGCATGACAGTTTCCAAGAGCTAACACATTCCTTCAAGATTCTTTCAATACAAACCATAGATCACTTCAAATTCAACAAATCTGAAGTAATAAAAAGGACATGTACAAAAACTGGCAGACTCTTTGCCCTCATTGCTTGTTCTAAAGACACCTGTATTACTGGTTGATTTTGTCCCTGAGTCTAGCCTGCAACAAGACTAAAATCCTTTCTTCCCATATGGTCTTTATTTTGAGCCATATTCTCTTTATCCATCCTCACCCCAATGTTATATGGGGAGAAAAGGAGGGAAGTAACATTCACACATCTTCCAGCTCATCCCCTCCACAATATACAATCTTCGTTTTTCTCCTTCTTAGTACATGGCATCAGCATATCTCCTCCCAATGCACACTTTTTCTGAATACCTGCATATCTATACAATATCATAAAAGCATCAACATAAACCAAACCATACCCCATTTACCAAGTCAGCAACAAAATAATACTGACTCTTAAGAAAATATAAAACTGTAACAATCTGTTTTCTTTATTCTCCAGTTTAAAAGGAGGCCACTACTGATTACAATATTTATTCCTTTTATCTTTAGTCTTAGGATCTTCCACAACCTATTCCAGTTTTTCAGAATACAACCTGGAGGGCTACAGGGTAGAATTGTGGACTGGTTTGCCAGTAGAGAATTACCCAACTCCTTTATCCTTAGGTCCAGACCTCCAGTACAAATGTTTTATTACACTCTGCTCTGACTCCTTGCCAGCAGAGAGAGGGGAGGCACTCTCTCCCATCACACAGTTTTGTGTGTAACAATTCCAAAACCTAGGCATTTATTTATTTCCCAGTTCTGACCCCCATCATTAGTTATGCACTGCTCTGACCCTGTGCTGGCAAAGATAGAAGGATGCCTCCCCCCTTCGTATATTGTTATTATTGTATAAAATCACAGCCTCTGTTATGAATTCTTCTGATTTGATTTACACAGAGCTTGCGGTTTTCCTGTACCAATCCCACTGATCAGGTACAATAAAATGAAATTTGATACTTACCAGTCCAGGAATTCATCCCACTTTTGCTCTTGCTCCAGTACCTCTGGAATGTTACACCTTGGAGTCACTTACTGCCCCAGCACTGAAGAGGATTCAGTGGAGTTCCTGATCAAACTGGTCAGAGTCCTGTCCGATCCAATCCTCCTTTGCCGGGGGCAGCAAGATGATCCAGGCGAGGTTTTATGGTTTTCTCATCTAAGTCGCCAAGATTGTTGTCTCAAAATGGGTTCTTTCACCTGGTATGCAAGAGGCTGGTCTGCGCACAGAGTCAAGGTATTTATTTACAGTTCTGTGCAGAAAGGGGTGCTGGGTGGCAAATCCACAAAGCCAGTATATGAAATGTCTATAAAGTCTATAAAACCTTTTTACTATTTTTACATTTTAGCAAATAAAGACACTTTGTTACATAGTTCTCTTATTAATTAGTATTCTTTTTTCTATTGCTTAAATGATTCCCTCGCTTCTTATTCTAATTCTATAAGACTCATGCTGAGTCTTTCTCTTCTTTTGAGTTGGTGGGTTTCTTGAGTCAGTGGTCCATGAATTGGTGGTTGTGATCTCCCCCTTTGCCCAGGCAGAGCTGAACTCAGAAGAGCAATTCAGTTGCCAAGTTGGCTGTGTTAGTTACTTCCTTATCTTGGGAGTATTGCCGAATGTCCTTGTGGCGCATAAATTGTGCATTCTTTGTGTCCACTATCAGGAGTACATCGTACTCCCCAAGCTTTGCTGATCTCCCTCTAGGTCTGAGATCATTGAAGCATGGCAAGCCCTAAACCTTAACAAGGCCATTCTATTCACAAGTAATTAATCTTTCTAGCACCTTGACATCACTCCCATGAAAACAAGCTCTCAAGGAGACTGAGTTCACTTGTGTTGCTAGCAAGATATTCCATCATCAGGACCACTCCAGCCAGTGTAATGCTGGAATTTGTCTCCACGTGTCTGGCCAGTGTACTCCTCTGACTGCCATGTCTTTGGGATAGGTTGTAGTAGGACTGCAGGTGGCCACCAGCAGGTTAATTGTAAGTGCCTAAAGCAGTTTCAGCCTTTTGTAATGAACATTCCGAGAAAGTGACATATAAGCACTGTGGCTTGAAATGAAAGTGCTTGATTGGTTCCTGAATATGCACTAGCAAAGTGCCATGTTTCTGGGTACTGCTGGCTTCCTCAAGTGCTGTACCAGCCTTTTTAACTGGTTGCTGTAATCACAGTATGAGAAGTCACTGATAGCTGAAAAAAAGACTGGGTTGAACATTAAGATAAGCAGAAGTTATAAGGCAGATTTGCTTTTCTTCTTGTGGGTATCTTTAAGGATTGCTAAATCTAAAAGTGAACCAAAATAATTTACCTTTATGTTCAGCCTGCATAATTACAGGAATATTTGAAAAATATATGAAAATGTTGACGCTCAGGAATATTTGATGTTGTCCTGATTTTGGCTGAGATAGAGTTAATTTTCTTCCTAGCAGCAGGTACAGTGCTGTGGTTTAGAATCAGTAGGAGGATAATGTTGATAACACACTGATGTTTTGGCTGTTACTGTCAAGGACTGTTGTTTCCTGAGCTCTACCAGCAAGCAGGTGCACAAGAAGCCAAGAGGGAGCAGGACAACTGACTAAACTGGCCTGAGGGATATTCCACACCATAGTACATCATGCCCAGTGTATGAACTGAGGCGAGTTGGGCAAGAGCTGCAAATTTATCACTGCTCCCGGACAGGCTAGTCATTGATTAGTGGGTGGTGAGCAATTGTACTGTGCATCACTTGTCTTTCTTGGTTTTTTCCCCTCTCTCTCATTATTATTGTTTATTATTACTATTAATAATAGTAATGGTTAAAAATTTTGTCACTTATAAAACTGTTCTTATCTAGACCCATAGATTTTACTTTTCTTTCAGATTTTCCTTCCCACTGGGGAATGGGGAGGAGTGAGCATGTGACTGTGTGGTACTTAGTTGCCAGCTGGGGTTAAACCAGATGGCAGCAGTAAAGGAATTCCAAGATGAGATTAGAAAGTATTTTGTTAAAAGGAAAATAAATCCTTTTGATGCTTGGGAAGTCCTACTATAATCTGACAGAGTGAAAGATTGCTATGGATAAGCAGTTTCTCTAGCAAGCCAGAGCATGACTTCAGCAGTTACACAGTAGGACCCTACTAATAT